TATATATAGTATATGTATTTTTAAAAATTGGTCTGCTTAATTTGATATTAAAAGATTGAGTAGGGGTGGCACATATATATCTCAGGTGTATCGTGAAATTTAAATTTTTATAAATATGTATCCATGTTATTTATCAAGTTATTATTAGCATATAATTATTATATATTTTTTTTGTATTATTTTATTTTATTATGATTAATTAGAAGTAAAACCATACAAAAACATTTTCATTACTTGAAATAAAATAAGCATTAACTGAAATAAAATATAAAAAAACGTATTTTATTTCAGATAGTTGCCAAAGCAAAACTAAAATAAGTAAAACTAAATAAACTAAACTAAAAACTATATAGACATAGTTATTAAAAAAAACTTAAGAAAATGATTAAAAAACACAACACAAAAATATTAAAACTTTTAATTTAAACTGAAAAAATAAAATTTAAAAAATAAAATATAATTTAAAAAAATTAACAAAAACTAGTAAATCAATGCTGATGATATATGAATATATTTCAGTTTTTATTTTTTTAAGCTAAAATAATATATTATTCCTTTCTGGCAAATTTCAAAGATTCAAAAACCATTCTCCATCTTTTCTGCTTAAGATTATGTTATACATATAACATTTTGATTCCTGATTTTTTTTAAGCATGTGTAATTCTAGATTTTAATATCCAATATACATATTTTTTATATTTAAATATAACATAAAAACAATTAGTGGGTAAAATTTCTTTATCAGTGCATCTTCCCTTTTTTTAAAAAACTTTTTTTATTGAACAAATTAAATTATGCTTCGCCATTCAATATTAATATTTGAGGACGGTGCCAGAAATGCTGGATATATTCTATAATTATTTACTTTTTGAAAACAGACTTTATACATAAACATAATAGATAAAAAAAAAAAAAAAAAGTTTTTCATGCATTTGTGTGTCTTATCTTATTTTGCTTATTTTCTGCTCACTGTTTAATGTTCACTAGTGAGCAAATATTGATTGACAGCTTTCATAAGAAGAGTTTACAGACGCACTGGCTTTAGTTCACGTACAGTATGTTTAAAGATCTGAGCTGGTTAGTGCTGATTGTAGCGGTCACTATTGTATTAGACACGTCTGCTAATGCAGGTCTGAATGATATAGAAACAGACTCTTTAACCTACATTAAACAACAAGCACAATTTGACTAAACAAATTAGGAACCACAGGTTTTTATAGGCTAACCCTGGACAACTGAAGTAGTAATGCTCAGCTCACAGTGAATGTGTATGTTTGCAAGAGCCTTGAAGAATCTGCAAGGTGTTTATTATTATTTAAAAAAAGAGAGAGGCATCATAAATATGCATGTTGTTTTAATTTGATATTTACGTACAGAAGACAGAATAATACCTGAAATGACACACAATAGATCATATTTCACTCCAAAAAAATAACATGCATTATTTGCACAACTTTTTATGACATTATTTTTATGATAATAACAGAATTATCTGACAAAAAATCTATATTTGATATTAAGCTTTTATATATTCTATATTCTAGTGATAACATTTTATTTTTAAGATTATTATGTAATTATTATTTATGGTCACTAGGTGGGTGAATCTCACACACACACACACACTCTCGCACACACACACACACACTCACTCACTCACACACTCACACACACACACACACACTCACTCTCACTCACTCACTC